TAACTTGTACTTGTTCCAGGTATAGAACGAAAGGTCGGTGACCGAAATTACGCTTCCTCAAGCGCTAAGCTACGGCAGCCCCGCTGCACAACTCGTTATACATTTTAGTAAGCAGGAACTTGTCGCCGCTTGTTTGTATTTGGTTTTCGAGCATAAAAAGCTAGCAACGAGAACTTATATTCGATTTTTTTGCCATTTTAAATTCGCTTTCTTGGCAACGTCTATCACATCGCTGTAAATCTGAGTTTTACGCATACTAATATATTGCTCGTTTTGCACTCCGTCTAATGATACGATTTTTATTTATTTTTATCTGCGACTAAACCGCCTAAGGAACTCGGTCGCGGTGCAGCGAGTAGATAAATGAAAACTAAAGCACGACGATATTGGGTCGGCAAAAGCCGTTGCGACTCTTGCTCTTTGAGACTGACAATCTCGTCCTCTGAGTCGATTCTAGAGTATTCGTGACAAGTGGATGCCGATGTGATCTCTGCAGTGGGCTCACTTAGCACCGTCCGTGGTGAACTCAGGCACTGAGGCCGAATTTCGATGAGGAATTTTCGTCTTCGGAAAGAACCCCACAAAAGAGGTATAAAATTGCTTTATAGATGAAAGTGACCGGTTTGGACTAAGAAAGTGGCTATGACAACACATTTCCTAAACGCCTTTAGCGAAATGTCGACTTTGCTTTTTAAAGACTGTCTGGAATAGATGTGCAAACACGAGTGAACAGTGAAGAGCTGAGCTTAATTGATAGCCAATATGCTTCGTGCTTAGAGCTGGGCACGCATGCCCCGGCGAATTTTTTTTTCTTCTGATCGTATATTCACTTAACGATTTTTGATTTACATTACTTCCGCACTTCATGTGGTTCACATGAAATGCCTTCTTTATGTTTGCGTTGCCCATCGCGTGCTTCGTGCAACTTGTTTGTTTCTCCCACTGCATTCCGCACTCACGCCATGGAATCATCCAAGCGCGTGGTAGATGCTAAGGCGCCATCAGTTGAATTGAAGCGCCTAGCGAAATTCTACGCACCTGACCGACCGCCACGCAAGCGTCTTCGCACATTACTAGACTTCCTTAAGCATCCACCGGGTGCAGACGGCGCGTCCAGCGGCAACATTGCGGTAGCTGTTCAGTCGTTACTCTCAGGGACGTCTAAAGACACAGCGAACAACGGCAGTGGACCTGAACATGCGGCTGCAGTGGCTGAATTTTGGGCCGAAGGAAACAACTCAGTGATCGTGTTTAACGTCGTCAGCGACTGCGTTTTAGAGCTTGAGACGCTGTATGCGCCACATGAGACAGCATTTCGAAAGCAGCGTCGAAAGCCACTTGAAGCAGAAGACTGGAGCGAAGTATTTGAAGGATTAGAAGTCGTCTTACGGAATAACTCTGCTCGATTGCGGGAAGGTTGGAATAATAATGGTCTGACGATGCTTTTTGCAAAGTTGCTGAAGCGAGACAACCACGCAATGATAAAAAAATATGCATTTCGCTGTCTTGCCTTGTATACAGACGCAACTCGAAGTATTCAGCAACTCGCAGCGATGCCGTCGACTAGTACGTCGAGTTTTCAAGCGTCTCGAGCTGGAAGTATTCGACTTATGAGTGACGGTATTGAAATCGATATTGATGAAACAGAAGACGAACGAAGTGCCGCTTTATTGACAAACACGCGAAAAAATATGCACTTAGAATTGTTACGAGAAAGTGTTGACTTTTCGCCTTATGGAGGAGGCAGTATCATGTTACCAGACAAATTTTTGAACGAGGGGGTACATGTGGAAGGATGGATGCGTCCAATGCCAACACAAGCGGAAGAACCGGTGGATATGCTCAAGTTTCTCATGGATCTAAGCTTGGAAAGAGAGGATGTACACACGAAACTTACGGCCACAGGAAAATCAAGTGGAGCCAGTGATCGATTTATATTCTGGGCAGAATTGATTATGAAATTCTATATGCCATTATTGTACCCAAAAGTATGTTTGAAGATGAAGCTAAAAGAAGAAGGAGACAATTTGGGCTTCTTTCATCACTGTCCGGGAAGTTTTCAGCGTGTTGTAGCACGGTGGGTCTACAAATTGCGCTCAAAAGAAGATTTTATGGAAGTTTTATGGTCCAGACGAGAGTTTTCCGAAGTAGTGATGGAAACAATTCGACAACGATTCGCTTATCGCGACACAGAACTTGTTGTGGATGCCATCAAATTTTATTCGGGGTTATGCACGAATGCACAGTACGTTCCGACGGGCATGAAGTCGCAAATGAATGAATGCTTACGTGCAATGATTTCGCATGTCTCTCAGCTATTCCATCCATCCGTGCAACTGGAGGATTCCAAAATTTTGCTGCATTGTATCGAGTTGTTGGAACTCATTTCTCAGCGACGACTCGATGACTATACCTCGACATATTTGCGAAAGTTTGTGCTTTCCACTATTGAAAATTGTGTTCTTCTTCGTGAGCCAGCGAATCGCCCTATACTAGCGGCAATGTTATCGATTGTTTTGCATGTGTGGATGCACTCGGCGGTGGTATCTAAGTCTGTTGGAGCGCAGGTCTGGATGGAACTGACCATCGCGTTGCGACGGTGGTTGGTGAATCCTGCGGACTCCAAGACTGTTGGTGTAGAAGTCATTAACTGCTGGAAGCGTGAACTACGATTTTGTAGCTGCTTACTCATGTACGTGATGGACAAGGGATATTCGTACTTGAAAGTAACTCCAGATGGAGCAAAGCTTTTGCCACAGGACGGAAAAGATGAGAAAATGTCAGCGAATGGCAAAACCCTCCGTGAATTAAAACAGGGGTACCTTCAATCATCCGCTAACTTTCTTATGATGACAGTGGTGGATGTATCGGATGCCACACTGCTGCTAGATCGTGTGTTACATTTAATCTCGCCTCCCACCCTCTCAGCTCTAACGCCATTGATGCATTTGACTTTGACGGAAGGTATGCTGCAGCTTGTAGAGCTCTGGATTGAATCGGCTATCGGTGCTCAGCGTAATCACCCATCTGAGCTACAGCAGATTAGTCCGTCGACGGTCTTAGCGTTGTTTGGCGAATGGATCTTGCCTGCGTGTGAACTGGAAGCAACGGACTTTCAGAGTTCACGCTGTACTGCTATTGTAGCATTGTGTAAACTTTGCTCCGTTCGATGCATGAATACAATCACTCGCAGTCATCTTACCATTGTTGCTCGTGTGTTGTTTAAGGGAATCACCTCTCCGTCCGGCGTGGTGGTTTCCACTGTACTGCAACGATCCTCTGGGTTGTTCTCTATGAATTTGGAGGGACTGAACATTCTTGTACCCGCATATTTATACGCGGTGGATGAAATTATTATTAAAAATATCTGGAACCGAGCGGAAACATCCAATGCGAAATCTTCTGAGTGGAATAATGAACTGAATGCTGCACTTGACGTTGTGTTTGCAATTATTGAATTGCCCAAGCGGTTTCCACACCAAGATTTCGTGCGCTGGAAACAAAAGATTATGGGTGTTTGCAGCGTAGACGAGCTACCATTGATGCAAGATATTATTGGCGAGATTCCAGAGACCCTGGATGATTTCCACGTGATTGTTGGCCGCATTCTGTTGCGAATCGCGCAGCTTCCATTCACTGACGTTGTGGATATAAAAAAACGCGCATTATGGGGATTGTACTGTCTCGTAGTAATGAATCTTAAGTCGGAGAACACTGGAGAACACGTTGTGGATCCGATTCACTTGGCTGAATGGGTGGTGCATCTTGTAGATGTTTGTCAAAATGCAGACTTTTCTATATCTATGGTTGCACTGACTATTTTACAAGATATGTCAGATTATCATGAAGAAGTCAACGCATTTGAACCTTCTCTTGTCGCTCGAATTGTTATGACGCTCGCTGTCTTTGCACAACAGCAATTGGAAGAAGCTTCGATTGAAGTGCAGGCTGCTATGGAACGGATGAATACAATGGATGCGTCAACTGAAGGCAGCGGCTCTAACTCGAAGTCGCCTTCTCTGATTGGAACCGGCCTCTCGAATAGCTCGTACCATTCGAGTAATTCAGGAGCACGCCGCGGAAGTGACCATGGAAGAGGAAGTCGAGTTGAGAGCTCGGCTAGTCACTCCGGTGAAACAACGGATGCGTTCAGTAAACTTAAGAACAAACTCAAGCCAACCACGCCTGTCACGCCTTTGACTACTCCTTCAGGCTCTACGAAAAGCCCGATCAACCCATCACTCAACTCTGTTTCTACCCAGCGAGAACAAGAGATCCCAGCGCTGCGTTTAATTGTTCAAAAGACAAGTGCTATCTTTGAATGTTTGCGCTTTTGGATCATGCATCGCACCGATATCTTGCAAGATGCGGATGTGAAGAAGCTTATATTCAGTGCAATTGAAGCCGCATTGGTAGGGACGTTGCCAGATGGAGATTGGCAGCGGGAGGTGGAACGTGCGCGTACTTTGGAACGGCGCATGTCGATGCCACTATTGTTCTTAGGACTGCAAATGCGCTCCTCCCTGGATAAAGAAACCGGTCATGTCTGGCTAAAAAGTTTTGAAGAAACGGCTGTTGCGGCTGAGGGACTGCTCATGCACTTGCTGCATCATATTAACGGCTTTCCATCCCCCGCTGGCGTCGATCAGATGGTATCAGATTGCTCTGGATTTAATGAACTAGACGATGCACGGGAAAAAGGAGAAAAGGACTCGCCTCCTTCGGTCTTAAACTTTGTGTTTATGGACTCGCTCGTTTTTAGTGTTATCGGTAGCTTGGATTCTCCCTGTGCACGGTTCATCGTACGAGATATGACGGGTCTATTCACATGGGAAATCGCACCGGCCGTGCTAAATCGTGGTGCTCACGCGCTCATAAGTACAAGTCAAGACGTCGAGAGAATTTATGACGCTAAGGGTGACAATAGCTCTTTGGAAAGAGAGCTGACACTTCAGATGGATTCAAATTCGCAAACATTGGCGCTTCATCGACCTAATGGTGCTGTGCAGGTTGACTTCAAACACATTGACGAAGGTGGAGGTTTTTGCAAATCTTGTGGTGGTGAGAAGCCTCGCGTAAAGGCCGCGCCATCAGACGCAAAGACTGAACGAAATTCTGGTATTAAGCTCGAGGCTCGTCAAGTTACTTGGGAATACGAACAAGCCGTTCTTGCCAATAACCTTTGTTTGAGTAAGAGCAACTACGTATTCCATGATGATAGCTCTGCCTCGTCGGCTAAAGAAAGTGGAGATATAAAGAAGAAAGACAAGACGCGAAGCTCTGAGATTGAAAAAATGCCTGGAGGTGGAAATAAGGACGAACGTTATGAACGTCTCGAACGAACTGCCAAACAAAACGAAGAGCGCAATCAAACTGGTGCAGCTGCTTTAAACACTGTTGAGCCACAAAAAGTGATTTGCCATTGTCCACCTCCGACCGAATCGAAGTTTAAGCGACGTACAACAACAACCATCTGTGGTCTCTTTGATATGTCGATCAATGAGCCGAATGTTGGCAACTTGGATGATGAGCGCTGTTTGTTGGACCTTGTACTCGACAGTATTCCGATGATATTTCGCGATTGTGGCGGGGACACGACTGACAAGACGCTCTTGGGTGGTCGGTATGCAATGATGCGGTACAATTTGATGGACATGACACCCTCAAAAAATCCGCTCTCAGTGGACTCAGCCGAAGCGTCGGGGTTTTCATTTTTGCAACGTCTGATACATGATGAAGAATGCTACTCGCAACTCAAGACTTTTCTGAGCAAAGATGATCATCCGGAAGCCAAGGAACTAGTAGATTTTTGTGATGCCGTGAAGAAATATGAGCGCACTTCTGTACCAACGGATCGCTTGAGCCAAGCTAGTGTAATCTTTTGGGAGTTTTTGACTGTCGAAGGTGGCAAGAAACTTATTTATCCATCGACGGTCGTCTCGGATATTCAAATCCAAATTCACAAGGCTCAATCTGCATTGCGAGTGGCAATGGCGAACCCCTTGGAGGATTCAAAGAAGCCTGTATTCTGTCTTCCAGGCGCACTTTTTCACAATGCAATGGTGTATGCTGAACACGAAGTATTTAGCAAGTCTGGATTGATGGACAAATACATTGCATCGATGGATCAACCACTAGCGACATCAACAACAGGTTCTTCTGGCAGCAAAACCAATACTAGTTCAGTGTCGATTCCACCGCAGCTTGCGCTCTTTGACTCATTTTCAATCATGGAACTGAATGCACGAGTGTTGCATCTGGCGCTACATAAGCGGAACTCGGACAAACAGCTCGTACAAATGACAAAAGCTGGCGTTACCGGCGTGCGTCGTTCAAATCAAGTATCGTCTGGTAGCTCCAAAGACATCCGTGCGGGTGCACTTGATATCTGTCGTCTCTTTCTGTCTCAAACTGGATTACTACCATCACTTCGTGGTGACACGACAAAGAAATCGGCTTTAAAGCTATTGGATCACGGACCGAAGTTGGAAAGGTCGCTTAAGCATCTAGATAAAAGTCCAACGCGAGAAACAATGAAAATTGGGGTGATTTACGTGGGAAAAACACAGCACACACAACAGGATATTCTTCATAACGAAAAAGGTAGTCGAGCGTATGAACTATTCTTGTCGCAACTTGGCTGGCAGGTGGACATGCAGACGCACCGTGGCTTTGTTGGTGGCTTGGACACTAACCCTAAAAGCCTTTCGAATGGCAGATCGACACTTTATTACGCAAGTTCTCATAGTGAAGTAATCTATCACGTCGTGACTATGATGCCTACAAAGCCATCCGATCCCCAGCAAATTGATAAGAAAAGACACGTGGGCAATGACTATGTGCATATCGTCTGGAGTGACAATGTTACACAAAACTACGATCCATCGACGATAACTAGTCACTTTAATGATGTGCAGATCGTGATTTATCCTTTGCGTAAGGCACAGCGAGGTTTATTTTTAATCAAAATTCATACGAAAGACAAGGTTCCTCCGTTTGGTCCTTTGCAGTCTGGCATGGTAATTCACCAAATGGACTTAGCTCGTCTAGTGCGCCAGACAGCTATGAATGCAAATCGAGTCTGTCGCTCTCAGGTAAATTACATACTTTCTTGAAATGCTTGCTTAGTACATTTCTGACTGATTTCAATGATTGTAGACCATGTTGTATGTACGACCGTATCCGACTCGAAAAAAGTTGGTGGACGAGATTGTTGAACGATATGCCGTGGAGTATAAGGAGAGTCAATTGCTCACAATGTTGTTTGGTAATTCTGCATCAGGGTCGACATCGGTATCAGTACCATCCACTGGTGACTAACTTTTGCGTTTCATGGCATAACAATCAATTATAGTATAGCTACTATCCTTGTACAAATCTACTGAACAACTTATTCTGTTTTATGTTGCCAGCAGTGTTAAAAAATTGACAAGCTAGATTTTTTGCTAGGTTATATTAGAGCATTAAACCCCTGGCAGCTCAATCATATGATACATTCGATCGTCCATAGCGCCAAGTGCCGAAATCATGGATATGCTTGGAGCTGCTGTACGCTTGGCATTTGCTGGTTTTGAAAACTTAGATGAATCCCATCATCCAATAGTATGTCAAAAAGAAGTATCTCAAGACTGCACTTTTCTTACGAGATGGCTGGAATCGAATAACGATCAGCTAGTAGAATTTGTGGGTCTGACTCATTATTCGTCTCGCTACGCTCCATGTTCAACTGCTCCATACCAAGGCAGTCGAAACAATTTCGAGCTTAGGGCAGCCTCAAGCAAAACTGATGACAACATCTGAATCAAGTGCTTATGATAACCCGATCAGGTAATTTCCACGGGGAGATCTTGATTCTTACACTCTCAGGGAGTTCTAGATTCGCAATATCCCGGAGCACAAATACAAGTTCCATCGGATCAATTGCCGAATGAACTAGCAATGCTTCAAATTCACTTTTGAAATTAAACGCATTGATGATTCCAGCAACAAAGTTCTCAACGTTGTCTGTACTCATCATGGCGAGGAATTTTGCCGGATTGTACGCAACACCAAAATCGTCTTTGTAGCCCGAACAACCGCTCAATATTAATGCTACAAACAACAGAGAAAGATACCGTTGACGTGTGTGAGATTTGATCTTTCCCTGAGTCGGACGTTGATGAAGTCCTGCTCGCAGCAATTTGTACTGTTTCTGAAGCAACAAAGAGTTCTTATCCACCTTTTTGAATCTACATGCGATCGTAAGCAACGAGCGCTTGATTTCGCGGTCCCAGACTAGACTCCCTCCTCTCACTTTAGTCGCTTTTAAATCCCATTTCAGTTGTTCCACTTCGGAAATGAAATTTTCACGCCGACAAACCCGAAGTGCGAGCTTAAAAAATACTGTAGCTTGGTCGTCTACGACAAGTTTGGCTCGAATGACTTCGTCAAAAGCTTCAGATAGGAGCGCGTGCATCTCAGTATGGCTAAGCGTCCGAAATCCCAGACCAAAAATGATATGAAGATCGTAGACACTTGTCATCAAGCTTAATAGTGGACGCAATTTCATCATAGAAACATCCGATGTGCCTAAAATCAACGTCGCACGCTCCCAAAACGCACGCTGCTTGATATGTTCTCGCAGTAAATACGAGACTCTGCTATCTTTGTCGAGCTCCACTGCGTAATCAAACGCTGTTCTGCCACCAGGAGACAACACCAGAGGATTGCTGCCACACTCAACGAGAAGATACCGGACTAATGCAAAGTTTGTTTGTGAAGCTGCCAAGTGGAGCGGTGTCCACCCATTACTTAATCGTAAGTTTTGAATCCAGTCAAATCCCATCGTGTCTTCCACTAGCTGCTTCAGAAGCTCAACGTCACCTGAATTCATTAATAAAGTCAGCACCCCTCTTCCGAAATCTTCTGCAAGATTTTTTAATTCGTGTCGCCATATTTCGTCTTCCGTTTGCTTCACTCCTTGCTCCACAATCTTGTACGTGTCAACCATTTCCACAAGTGTATCAGAAGCCAAAGACATTTGAAGAAGAATCGTCACTGCTTCAGTATGTTTCAACTGAATTGCTGCGTCAATATTGGAGACATCAGCTGTACGATCTCCTGTCAATAATTCCCGCAAACACACTGTAATTGCATCAGCATTCATGGCACCAATTGCTGCCTCTACGTTTGTGTATGCCGTTAAAAGTTTCTCCATCTCCACCGAATTCGGCCCAGTTCGAACGTACTCAATAGCAGTCTTTCCAGAATCACTTTTGACAATCGGATCTGCTCCCCGTGCAAGAAGCACCGCAGTGACATCAAGTAAATCTCTCATGACTGCACATTGTAGTGGTGTTCGACCAAAAAGTCCGACATGATTCGCACTGGCGCCATGTTGAGCCAATGCAATAGCAGTGGCACTTCTTTTCTCGTCAATCGCAGCATGAAGCGCTGTGAGGTCGTTTGAATTTGTCAGCTCAAGATCAGCGCCGTACGCGATCAAGAGCTCAAGAATATCGACGACATTGTATCGTGCCGCCTCGATAAGTGGTGTATTATTGAAGCTGCGACGTTCATTGACATTGTCACCTTTTTCCAAGCGTCGACGAACGCCAACGAGGTCCCCCCTTCGCACAAAATCCGTAATGGTATCACGGGAGAAAATCCGCATCGAGTTTTATCAACGAAGCGGCGAAATGAAAAGTGTGAGGAAGATTCTGGGCTCAAGACGAGCCGCCATTCCCTTACAAATGACCATGCGTGTGTATGTACGTGGTTGCAATCGGTCGATTTCATGATTTGGGTCAACCATGTGGACCAAATTTGTGTCGGATATTTTTGAGGAGTTTTTTTGATCTTGATAAATTTATAAAAGCTTTTAAACCTAGAGTGAGCAGACTATTAAAGTTCATTCTCATTGATATAATTAACATTTTGGTCTATTCGTTGCTGTCTGTATGCGATAAGTATCTGATTAACGACTTGAGTACCTTATTTGATGGTGCTGGTCGAAAGTGTAGGTTTGCGTGTAAATTAGTAACGCTCCTGGCCAAAATATAAATCTACAAGTATCATTTCTGATTTCACATCACCAAACCATGGGCTATAATAATCCTGATACAATATATGAAGAATACTTAGGTCTGCCATAGTATCCGGAGATTTACATATCGACGCAAAAACATCATCAAGCCACTTCGAAGGTACGAAGAAGATCAGAATTTGATTACCACGTGCACAGCGGACAAATCGGTTGTTAAATAAGGCAACATATGACATATAATGCTACTGTTGGCAGTGCGAATACGGTCATATTCGTGTCCAATTTGTTGCTATTCTCGAGATTCCAAAATCAAACTCAAAACGTTGTGAGACGTGCTTTGTCAAAGAGCTAAAATCCAATTTTTACAGTACAAAAAAGCGATAGATAGCCATGCTTAAACAACCTCCGTATTGTGCTTATTTGATGATGATGGTGTCTGATTTGCATTGATGAACGTTCTTATCGTGGGCTCACTGAGATATTCATTTATCAACATGACGAAATGATGGGATAAGGAATCCTGATTTGTGATCAATACCACTGTTTTAGAAATTACATGTTGAGCTGTCCCAAAGATATTAAAAGCACAGCGATACGTACTAACCAAACATACTATAAGCGGCTTTTGAGCAATAGAGGGGCTATAAGATCTGACAGGGATGTTCAGTGGCGATTTGAATCCTCAAGGATTTTACCTCAATGGCAAAGAAATTAGGGTAAGGCTGCAACTCAAAAATAAATATTTGTATTATGGTGAGACTGCATCAATATTACTAATTAGCAAAATGACAAAACTTCTATTGTGCTAATAATGAACAATCTGCTTAATAATTCGTTTCAGGACATGGCTACGAACATGTTAAGAAGTCTGACATCAAAGAAAAAGTTCCAAGCAACCATCACAAAGAATTAGTTACTTGACTGGGCACATGAAGCGAAGTAAGCTTTAAAAACCACGAATTTTTTTGAAACCTCTAGTGCGATGTGTGTTGGAACCGCCAATAAAACGAACAGTCATAATTGTCAATGGTAGTTCATAGTTAAGGCATCGTCAAGCTGCTTTGTTAGCTTTTGCAGTTTACTTTGTTCTCTTTGTGACGAATATGGCATCAAGTAAAACTTTAAATGACAAGAAACACTCAAAAAAGAGTGGCGAAACAACGTCACGAAGCAAAGATAAAGAGCGCAAGAGTAAGAATAAAGATCGAGTCTCCTCTTCCAAAGACGACAAGAATGAAATAAACACTACAACGGATGATGTTGTCGTCTCAACACTTGCATCAGCGTCGGTAGGTCACGACCCCGATGCTATCCAACTATTTCGTCGATATGATCGAAACCGATCAGGAGCTCTAACGCGATTCGACTTTTTGCAGCTATTGAAAGATTATGCTGATTCTTCGAGTAGCACGCCGGTGACAACTCCATCAAGACCACCATTATCATTAACTGACACCAACGGAATTCCCCTGGGATACCAGCGTGCTGATAGGAACTCGGAATTTGAAGCTGGACAGCTTTTTGAGCGATATGACAGAGATCACGCTGGTGCACTCACCTTGGATGCATTTCACGCTTTCTTTGCGGATTTTAAACCACAACTGCGAGCTTTCGTGGAAGAAAGCAATTATCGCCCGTTTGCTCCACCAGTGACAACAATATCATCGCGACAACTGGAACCTGTCCAAGAAGATGAGTGTCTTCCAGCATCTGAAAACGTTCAGGATGCCGCGAATGATAGGAATGCGCATATAAGTCCGAAAGAGGTTAAATCAAAGTACCGATCAGCATTGTGGAAGTTGAGAAATTTGTGTAAGAATGAGTTGATTGATCAGCGAGAGCGCCTTGTTCAGCATATGAAATCAATTCGAATTGAGATTTCGCATCGACAACAACATAGAAGCAGTCGGAGGACTCACCGACGATCACGAACGGTACCCGTGCAGGCGTTTAATGAAGAAGATATTGGTTTTGGCAATGAACGAGAGGTTGAGGAAACAAAGCAGTTCGAAGCAATGGAAGACGACTTGGATCGGCTGGACGATGTGATAGGATTCGTGCGCTTTCATTTGAACAAAGGTTTGACGTACTTGAAGAGATAGCTAACAAAAAATATTCACTAACGTAGTGTTTGTGACAGGAAGTGATGTCTCGCAGCAGGAAATGCAGAAGTTTCTCGACCAAGCTGACAGAATCGAGGAAGAGGCCGAATGCCTTGCTATGAAAGATTATGGAGATGTTTTGAAATCAGAGTCGATAGAAAACGTGATGTCACCCCATGTGTCACCTAAAACTCCGCCAACGGCTTCTATTCAGCCAGAATCGTCAAGAGATCAGAAACTATTGAGTCTGGAGAGTCTTTTAAGGGTAAAAGATCAAATGATCTATCAATTGCTACAAGAGCGTACGGCGATGCGCAAGAAACAAAATGCGGTTGAGGCGAGTTTAAAAAAGCTAAGCGATGTCAGTACGCGTGAAATGAAAAAGTGGGCACGACTTACTGACGACATGCAAACAGAAATTCAGCAACTTCAGTCCCAGCTACAATCTCAGTAAGATCGGTGTGTCACTGCATATTCATCACAGATAAAACAATTTTGTGAAAATATTAGTACTGTTATGACCAAATGACACATACAGCTTGATGCTTATACCACCATTTGGCAATTTTGAGGCTGCACCCCACACTTTGCAGCCAAAATATTGCTGCTTTGCTTTGACGAGTCTTGCGTTCGAGCTCGCTTCGCGCATTAGTCTATATAATTACACAGGCTCTTTCAGTGAATTCATCTCCAAAGCGTTTGAGAAAATTCCGTTAAAATATGGAGGTCTGTTAGGATAGATGTTCTGACTCATTGCAGCGCAGAATGGAAAGATTGTTTGAGATTGGAGTCTAAGCAACCTTGTCTATGTGGCATGTTACTAATAAACTTGAAAACTAGTCCACAAACGTTCTACGACCATTATTTAGTGCAAACCAACACAAAATGCACCACAGCAACACAGCACTTCCTTCGATATGCGAGAAGCAACACTGCTCTTTCGGTTCGGATTCAGCAACCGTAATGTTAGATTTATTTTTGTCATGAAATCAGCCAGCTGCATTTCAGGTGGTACATGCTACAACTTGATATGTCCTGCTTTGATTTTGTTATATACGAAAAGCGCTCGTAAGTCTTTGTATCCTAGATTATGACCGTACCGCCGATCTTTCGTTTAGTTAAATTGTGATCGGACCTTCGGACTTAAATCCCTATTTTGTCAGGTAAGAATTGCAGCCAGGTTACTTCATGAGTCGCTAATGCAAGCGCAATTTATTCTGCTTGTGCAATAGATAATAACAGTACGGTTTTAAAGCGCTGCTATAATCTCGGTTTGTTTATCGTCTGTAACCTGCTGCATTAAGTACACGAATGGTGTTTTTTTGGTACTTGCCTTAAAAGAACGTACCATGATAGTCAGCGCCATGATTTTGCATGATAGTCATGATTTTGAGTTTTGAGTCATGCTCACCAAACATGTGAGCAAACACCCACAGAAACCAAAAGATGTACACAGCATCTAGGAATGTGTCAGACACCCAGTTTAAGAAGACGGATCATGAGCTGCTCGACAATAAGTAAACCAGACACGGTTACTAACAAGCTCATTTCTACACTAAATTTAATAAGGATTGACAAAATCGGCGACCCGGGCCAGAAGCAGTATTGCTCACCCGGGGTGATTTCACCAAATTCAAATTGCACAATTGTTTGAAAGTTAGGAACGCCCTCAAAAATTTGTTTGTAGAAGCATTGCCGACTCCCACCGTTAATCCGATTGTTCTAAGCTTTCGGCCATTCAAGAGCAAAGAACAGGAATACCTTTTTGGACAAGTATGACAGAGGGACCATGGAAATCGCCATTACTTCATACAGAGCATCGGCGCGTCGCGCTAGCCGCCCCCGAGTACATATGCAAGAGCCAACACTATGTGCAGTACCTCTGTCGAAGAGATACTCATGACATTAGAAAAGTTGAAGTGGCTATGATCACCGCCTAGTCAGGTGTGTACTATTCATTTAATAATCTAGTGCACCCGTCCATTGATGCAATAATTTGCGGACAACCTCCATAGTAACTCTTATAACCTAATGGCAGTGGATGATCCTCTGCAGATGGTAGTGACTACCATCTTCGCGAACGGTCTCCGGATAATTGCGTTTCGCATGAAATAATCTGAGCAAGCCCTTCGTACCGCGACGGCTGGTTGTAGTACTACAGGTTCAAACGATACAAAGGCACAGAAAGTGCCAAATCTTATGCAGCGGGGCTGCCGTAGCTCTTTGCTTAGAGAAAGCAAAGCTAAGGTCATCGATCATACGTGATCTACATGGACCAGTACGAGTGCAGCGGATCGCAATCCGCTGCCCCCAAAATCCTTGAAGCCTTAACCAAGGTAAGAAGCTCTTCTGTTCAAAAATTGAGACTACATTTAGTTGTTTTAGTTGCGGCAGAGTCTGCAAAATCCAAAACTTAAATTTTTCCAAATAATATAGTAATACCTAATTAATATAGTAAAATATGATTAATATGTACTACTACTGCAATCCTGCCACTAGTTGTTACGGTCTAGCCACACAATTGTGTGGTTACACCAACTTGTGTAATCTATACCTATCTACGGTCACACATCTTGTGTGACCCACCCTTTCATACAAGGGTAAGTGTAACCCGTTACACTTCAACCATGCGAAAAAAGGATCGGACAATACTGTGGCTTCCGTTCTACTTGATGATGTGACAGAATTAAATTTCTGCGCAGTAAGTGCCACCAGAGGGTCGGACATCCCGCCAGATTGTCCAACAAATAGCTAAATGAAAAATATCGATTCCAGTAGGCGCAAGGTAGTCTTACGGGTTCTGTTGTAAGTCTTATAGGTAGAAGTGGACGAGATCTAGCGCATGCAGGATTGACATCCTTCATCCTACGAGCAATAATGCTCAAAGTATGGGGTTGTTGGCCATTTACATCTGTATCCTGGGCCGTCAGATAGATTCAGAAGCGCCGTGCAAGCACATACGACGCGCGACTGCCAGAAAATATACGTCAGCAACCACGATGTCAAATGCGATACAGTTTACGTGCTTTTAGCGTCTGGGATACCAGTGGAGACGTCAAGGGTTCAAATGGGCCTCCGATTAAAATTTGGAGACTCTGACAGCGATAAATGTTGCATGGTCCTAGATCTAGATTTAAGATATGATGCGATTCTTGATACGACATAAATTTAATGCCATGAGCCATAAATCAATTGGAAGCCAAAAACTTTAGCTACCATGCAATACTATCCTTGTGGAGCATTGGTGAGTTGTGTGCCATGTCGTCAAGAAAGCCGAAGTGCTTTTCTTCCGGACACGATGCTGCAATAGCCTTGATAAGGTTGATTATCCTGACAAGCAACGATGTTGGTGAGGGCTTAAAACAGAGCTCGGAAAGTAAAAAAGCCGCGGTCTCAATATGGGGCAGACAAAACGATTGTGTATCGCAGTCTCCCGAGTGATTCACTCCTCAGACTGATAAAGGCAACACCCTCAAGCGAATCTCGGGTGGGGCGCTTAGTGACAAATGTAAGCTGGTGTATTCAGCGTCAGAGCCGATCGAGTTTAAGAGCAAATGGGCGCCGCAAAAAGTCTATGGACTGTAAGTATCTAGTAGAAGCTAATCCTATGATCATTAAGGTTGATCCACTTGTCACGATGCAACGGTATAGCTGAGTCAGCGCCACCGTGTAATGCGATCACCATGCAGAGTACATAACACCATGGCTTGTGGTGAAAAAAGCATTTTTTTTATGGTATGATCGGAGTCGTGAAAGTATTTCTCACTGCTGCCGATAGAACCTATTATTGATCAGCAACTATAATATTCCTGGAGATGTTTGCAGATAGTTGTGAAGTCAATTAAATCGTAAAATTGGAACCGAAGAAGAAGCAGAGCTTTTTTTAGTCATGGGTGAGTCCGTTATTGAGAAAAATGTTAAGCACTTGATGTTGGTAGTGTGACAGCTATCCTGAGGAATTATTTAAACTCATCAGGAGATATTTCGACGTAAAGACCAAAGATTTACCCCGTGTATCACCAGCACATTAGTAACTACAGCATGAAATAGCCCGGATACTGGAAATAAATATTACATCAAGCGTCAATGGCCATAACCTAGAATACAACGCGAAGACATACAGCCGATGGGGCATTAGAGATAGAGTAGATCTCCTTATATCGGTGTCGACATTATGTGTGAGAAAGGATGGCGGCAGGTGATGAATTTGCTCGGACGTAAAATACATTACATCTAAGTGCATCACTGCTCTCACTGCCACTTCTGCAGTATGACTTTTATCTCGTAAACTTATCCTCAGAGTAACACCATCTGCAAAAAAATTTGATTAGCAAGGTGATCGCGTCGGCTACAATTGAAGCATCGGTCACTATCCCAAAGTTGACCTCCTCGTCATCTTCCCACATTTCGTCTGGTACATCGATCACTCCCGATGTTTCTTCTTCACGATTATTCCTATCATCAGTAATGGTGTCGTCCTGCTTTGCTTTAGGCTTGGTCAAGCTCGTCCAGGTCACTTCCCATTAAGTCAATGCTTGAACCCCACTCTTCTCTCTCGTGGTTCTAGATATCCGGTCTTTGAGCTGCTGGACCTCTGTATACACTTCGTACTTTGAGTATTTGTGTACATGTATCATTGCTTCATTGTCTGGTTTCAAACAAGCGATTTCTCTTTTAACCTGGAGTAAATCTAGGATGCTCCGAGCGCGTTCAACTGAGGTGGCGAAAGCGGGTTTAGAGAAAGCTTCATAGCGAGTTGTAGGAAGAACAAAGTATCCGATGGGTAAGAAATAATCTATATGCGTCAATCATTGCGTTCCTGTTCACATAAAGCTGTCTTAGTGTGGACCGGATTAAACCTCGGAAGATGTCAGCAACAGACACTTTGACACTTGGAAACGGTCGTCAATATGACGCCAGTTCTCCGGGACCGAGAATTCTTTCGCTCGACTCTGGGAGCAGTTCAACCGATTGGTGATCTAATAAAAATGCCACGCTTCTTCCAAAAAAAATAATACTTAACCATTATTTTGTGCGCATGACCTACTTTGACGTAGAATTCAGAACCCTGTGTGGCAAGCAAACCCTCAAATCATTTTTAGACAGCAGTCGATTCTTTCACCGTTCTGCGATTGAAATCGTCATCCACTCTTCTATCTGTACAAGTCCTTTCCTATGTATTATAATATCATGAATTGTACCTTCTTTAAGGATCTTGATGGCGGGAATGACATCTCCAAGGGTTGGTTCATCACCTTCGAGCTTGTCAGGTATCTTGTTGAGCTCAATTATTGCTTTGTGGGCGTACGATATTTCATTCCAGACTTCAATTGATCTAGCAATGAGAAAATGACAGTAAGTCTTTCTCTTCCGTCATTTTTAAGGTGAAGGAAATGGAAGGCTAGCCGCGTGTGAGCGATCACGTCGAAAGTGCAAAAGTATGAGCGCCATCTCGATTCTTGTGAAATTTTCAGAGGTTTTTGCGAACCATAATACACGACTTAAATAGCTTTGAGCTGATGAGTTATGCTATTCAAAAAACAACTTTTATCAAATGAATCGAAAGAGTCATAGTGCGGATGAACCTTGCTTAGCAAGTGTAGAAATGATTTAGAGTACAACCAGAAAGGGTGTCAGTGTGATTAAATCTTTTTTTGAGCTGCTTAGGCTTTACCTGTCACAACATCACGGTCAATCGGATCGGTTTAAATCAAATTCTTCTTTTATGACACCATCTGTACATTTTCTGGTATTCGATTAATCCACAAGTTTCACATTTTTTTGAAAGTGCAGCGTTGATGTAGCAATCATTATGTTGACTAGAATATATATATATTGTTTTATAGTAAATGATACTGCTGCACTGACATTAGGTAAAATTAACGATTCACCGGATTCTAGCACATTCTTCGTCCAACAGTGTCTTTGATATCACGAAACGAGATGGCATATAATAGATGGGCACATATATCGATAGAGTTCTTTTCAATCTTTTAATCAAAAAAGTAGACCGAGGTGAACCTCTTGCGTAAATTGCTGAAGCGAGCAGCGCATCTAAAAAAAACTAGGGCCCTTCCCACCGCGGACACTTTAGTGTTCTCTGTTCGTTGATCTCTGTGACATTGGCTTCCTCATTCCACGGTACGTCTCAGAGTTGTAGCTCTTCTGGGGGAGAAAGAGCCCGCATACAACCCCGCGATAAAAGAAGAGCTGTTCAGATAAAAAAGATATATTCATTTGGAGCTACTGGAGTTGATAAGGTCACATGAGGGAGTAGACGTATTCTGCTTCATCTATACTGAGAGCCCGGCGAGGCGCAGAGCCACCTGGTCAGTCTTTTCACCCCTGTAGACAGTGCTGCAAAAGGCGCTGGTGCCATATCGAGACACAACAGATTCGGTATGGAGTTTGACCAAGCCCAACATTTGGTACGAGTCGTGATTATAATCTGACTCTGTGAGGATGACAGACGGTGATGGACCAAGGGTACTGGTTAGAAAAGCAGTATCAAATAGAAGATGCAAGTACAAAGAGAAGAAGCCATGAAGGTTGTCCAAGTTGCTGTCGAAAAATTTGCTGGACGAAAATTTTTGAAAAGAGATCGGTCTACCTCCTGCTGCTTTTATGATTGGCCCAAGGGAGCCCCCACCCTCAAGGTATGCATCTGTAATACGGCAACATCAGTCGCATTAAAAATTAATACTGTCTCCATGTTAGCGGTCACTGATGTTTTTGATTGGGATATGTGACATCATCAATTGAACAGTCACATGGCAGCGTCATTTGACACTAACATTTCTGTAACAGGTCGTCCTGAGTTCAGCGGTGCAATGCTCCCGCTTTAGAAACCAGGTGTGATACACGCAACTCTTGATGATATGAGTCAAATTGCAAAGAATGTTCAAGCCTGTAAAAGGGTTCCGTGGACGGGAAACGAAAGGTTGTTCAATCTTCCGTCCTGACGCAAGTGTTGTGTCAAGACTCGATGAGTCAATGTGACCATTTCGAACCAGAGTCATCTCCCGACTTCCGCCGAGTAAGGCCTGCTTGAATTTAATAGCAGAGGCCGCATATTTGGCATGAGAAGATAAAAAGTAGGAAGTTCGGGTGCGGCGGATGTTGGTTTAGCTTAAAACAATTTTGCTGTCTTAAATCGGAGTATTGTCTGTGACTCCAAGGGCGACTGCCGAAGTACTGACAATTAACGAACGCATTGTAGCTGTCAGATACGATTTCCGTGCATTTTACATTGGGACACCAGTTAAAGAGCCGCAGATTTTGTAATATTTTCAAGGGATCTGAAAGCGCGGACATTGTCTTGTCTTGGATTAAAAGGATCTCATCCGGCGTGTGGAGCAGCTGAAGCACTCCAATCTATGGACCGACTGTTAATCGAGAAAATTAAACATCACCCGCGTGTCTGATGGTACAGCTTTCGCAAATCGCGAAACCGCCCCCCATGAAGCAGAAGTGCTTCTGAGTGCGGTTGCTTTCGTGCAGGGTCTGGGCTGTCCAAATGCGATAAATTGGTATAAGAAGGTGCATTGGGCCGAGATCGGAAGGCAAAATAGCAGTAAGCCGCGGTCTAAGGGTGGGACGGAATAGGGAGGTTTTATATCTCGGACTATAGAGCGTATCTATGTTCAGACAGGAAAGGACACGACAACTGTATGTCGTAGTCTCTATAGTATATTTCTGACGGGACAGCGTTGAGTGTTGTCTATGTACCAGGCTAATGGAAAGTGAGTCCGACTGGGTGTTGCACTCTTCGTTGCTAAAACCGATGTATCTAAAGACGCGAAAGGAAGTCCAAAGCAAAAGGGCAAAAATCTAAGGATAAGACGTATGACTCATCCTTGTCGCAATGTTACAGTTCTGCTGTGTCGGCAACACTGTGTGGCGGTCTCATCGTGCTGACCAATGAAACTCACCATGTCAGTGTTAATATTCTTTGGGTTAGCCGAAGTAATTATAGATATTGGGAGACGACCCCAACTATGGCCAAGACAAGATCTTATTGAACTGGAAATTCTTACCCGCGGGAATATGCGCAAAAATCGTCAGAGCGATGAATTCAACGGAATGGTACGATTGGTGTCGGAGAAAGAGCCGATTTCATCATCCGTCGTGTATAATCCTATCATTCGGGAAGCTTGACGAGGAGTGAGTACGAAAAGTAGAACAGCTTACCTCATGGCCCAGCGATTTCGCTTCGTCGTTGTAGAAAAGGTATCATAACGCGGTGACTAGAGGCCCACCACGCATGTTACACATTATACACGATAGTAGCATGAAATTTACCTCGTTTCCAATAGCAAATGATGCATTTCACGTCTCCGATCTAACCAAAGAAAAGGTGCGGTATCGTTGACCCTTTACTCTGTGCAAAGCACGAAGCGGGTTTGGTGAGAAAGAAGAATCTCCCCATTCGACGCCAACTTTCTATACCAGAAAAAGCTAACGACAATGACGAACTGCGAATGATAACTGCAATTGCAATACCGGCACAGACGCCAAATCTTAAAAATGATAACAACGGAGAGGGCTGGACGCTTGCATTTTGATTATTAGTGCCCTCGACCAAAGGTTCTATTCTTGGAATTTTACGGGCTAAAGCTATTTCTCTCTCGCTGTTGTAATTACTTTGAGTGGAACACTCTGGAAGCGGCTAGTCATCCACAGCAGTTTTTTATGCATCAGTGACGCTCAATCGTCTGATACTACCGCTTTTTATGGCTTTGTACAAACCTTATTTGACGATATATTCGCTCACAGTCGTGCGGCACACGGATAGTCGGAGATGGAGAACCCCACTGCAGATTTGCGGGCTATGACAAGTTAATGCAGATAATAAAGAAATTCGCCAATATATATAAGTGTGTATTTGGTGCTAGCAGTTTCTCTTATTTGCGTGCTGCATTGGTAAGCAAGGCCTGTGAGCAAATTCGCGAAGACAAAGACCATTGTAGATTGGCTAACTACTGGCACAAGCAAAGTGCAGATTATGCCGACACTTCCCCAATTCTCTCATATCCTTTTAAAAGGATGCTCAAAGGTGCTAGGGATGCGGCGGAAAAGGCGACCTCTAAGATTGTGAAAAAGCTTCTTCTATTTCCTAGCTTTTCTCATACGAATTCAGATCGGCTATTCCACGTCGTCGGTAACGCTGAAGCGCGGTAAGCAGCTGCAAATTACTTCAATTAGCGTGAAGGCACGATCGCTTTCAAAACTTGTCAATCTGCAGCCGCCGAGAAGTAGAATTCTGCACAGGACAAGTAGCAACTTGCAATTAAATATGCTCTTTTGAGGTTCAAGGTGTACCCGCTTGGCTCTTATATAGTTGTGACTTAGTAAACCATCACCGAAATGTCCTCGCTGCATCTCACACGAAAAATACGGAATACCGTTCTTCCGTTGTTGGGCATACATACCTTTGAGGTGTGTTATATAATAGTTCGGCTTGATATGGTGTCGGGCGCACTTACAACTAAGAATTGCCGTATCACAACGTCGAAATCGGCAATTGACGAGGCTTGTACAAAGCAGACGCAACATCTGTTGCGCTGCTAGGATGATAAATCTAAGACCTCAATTGACGATTTATCGAACCGCGCAGTTACACGCCTACATCACTGCGCCTAATCCTAGAACATGCGATATTAAAACAAATTCCAGTCCAGAATACTTTATGAGATAAATGATACCTTTTTAGGCGATTATCTCTCAAATAAAAGAAGTTTTGCTCGGTGAGCGCTATTTATTGGTGGCTCAACATGTATGCAGATGTGGTAAACGTGTCAGCGGACTTATACCTTGCCGCATGTCAGCCAACCAGTTGCGGTAAAGCATTGGAAGTGCAATAGCATAAACTAAGCTTTGCGCTTAAGAAAGGGATTATTGGCATTGTGAAATTTGTGATCCGCGTAGCCGAGCTAACCCATCTCGCTGTTTTCAGTAAAAGGGTACACTACAAGGATACAATCAAGCTGCTACTTGGCAAAATGTTTCTTCGATTTGGCTTTCCGGTAATTATCGTATCGAATATAGATTTATGATATATATAGCAAAGGTTTGGAAATAATGTACACGGTCTCAGCACCAAATTCAACATTTTAACTGCTGGTCATTCGCGAGCGAATGATCAAATAGAAAGCGAACATTGAACTGTGTAGGATATCCTCCGAAGCGCTTGCGCAGAGAGACTGCGGAACTGAAGCGTTATACTCCCCCTCATTTGCGTTGTATAACACGATACATGGCTTTAAAGGTTAGCTACACTCTTATAAAATAGCTCGGTGAAGCGCCTGGTGCCTTCGACACCAAAAAGGAGGGACTTCGGCTCTATCGGGGAAACTATCAATACAAATCGAAAATCAGTCCTGCTACACTTCGTAGTAGAATTATTGACTTCATATCAATGGAGTTAAGCATCATGTGTAGGGTGGCAGATCCTCTCGCTGAGAGCCAGGGTATACAAAATCACAAACGAATTTGTGGGCGGGGAGTTTTTAAATTACAATCAGGCAGCCAGCAATTGCGGTGAATATGACTTGGTTACAACCGACCAGCTCACGATCGTAGCGAGGGAGAGAATTTTTCCCACTCCTAACATTCCAAAATGAATGCAAACGTATCAATTGCTCCATGTCAGCTTACTGATGCTACATCACGATCTCGATCATTTGAGCCGAGTGAATACAATGAGCTATGTCGCCGATGGACAACATCTCCACCATCCCGGTCAGTTGCTGTTCTTCTGCTCTCAAATATCAAAAAATTCCGATCCTCTTGTGAGCGCAGTGCAAAGACGAGCTGAGAGAGAGAGTTCGAAGACTGACTCATCTCAATTTAAACACACGTCGATATTCTTGGAGAGAGTCAGAGTGCCGCATAACTGAAAGATCGCATGAAAGTCAGCCGCAAGGTGAACCTAAGCCGGCAGTGCTCGATGAGCAAGGGGTTACTAATTTCACGTTTAACGTTGAGTAACCGGTGGATACAGCAGGGATCTATCCGGCATCTGAAAATACCTTTCATTAGAATTTGGGATCCCGCTTTCGGCAAGATCATCCATGTGTCGAATCCTGTTACTATTCCAATCTTAACTTTCAGGTAATGCTTCTCGTTGCACTGTGCTTCCCAATATCAAGTGGGGCCCGGGCTCTTGATGGACAAGGCCTTCGGTAGAAAGCTGTCATATGCAGAGATGAACGGAGCTATAAGCAGCAGAAATCGGAGAAGATGGGCTGTTCGCGCCATGCTTCGACATCTGCTAAGTAAAGCACTAAAAGACGCTCTTGATGGACGTACATTTCGCTGGAGCTGGCTTGCAGAGCTTTAGGACGGCTGAACTGGCACTTTTTTTTCACGTTGTAGGCAGACTGAGTTTGATACCTGTCTTCACCCTTACCGGCATCAGGTATCCTAGGTACGCTTTTAATGAAAAACACGATTTTTTCAACCGTTGTTACTCTAAGAAGGATGCACTTTTGGAAAAATTACCTGTGCTAAGAACAAGTTTGCAAAGCAACTTTCTTGCGCTCGTTCTGTTTTTAGTCTGAGCGTAAGACACGCGTGCATAAGCGTGTAGTACCGCCACACCAGCGCGGCGAGTGAGTTTAGACAGCTTTCAACGTGTGATAACGTGTGCAGGGCTCAGCGCGATTCTTGCGCTTGTGGTGGAGCAAGCTGGGCTTCTTGAGCACGATCTAGCTGGCGGGCGTCGACCTGGAAAACGGTCGTGAGTTTCTCGGTGCGGTGTCGCAACACTACTCACCATTGGAATATGGCAGTGAGTACTGGAGCCGTGTAGCCGAAGACCAAGCGCGGGATGAGCTAAGCTGTATGGGGTCGGATGAGAGCGAAGGTGTGGGTCAGCACTCGGAGTGTCAGTACGACCGGTATTGTTGGAGAATACCTCGGCATTCTCACCGAAAATTACTTAAGCTGTGTCGGGCGCGAGGGAGGAAATTGGTGGTGTCATATGCCCTGAAGAACAGGTACGGTGGAGAGCAGAGAATAAATTAGGCCCCAGGCACAGCGGTTGCCCATGACGCGCGCACTTTTAAACAGTGTCGTAAAAAATAAATACATGTATGAATTAAAGTGTAGTCTACATCTCATTGGGGAGAGTGTTAAGGTCTCGGTACTGTAATCACTTGTACTTTTCCCTGATGTAGCTGGTATATTTGTATCAAATACGATACGATACCGTTGGACAAATCCACGTGAATATTCATAACAACCGAAGTATCGATATATGAAGATGATAGATTTCAAAAAAATGAGAACACGAGGATTGCTAACAATTATATTAAATAAAATAGTAAGCCGTATATATTACATATTTTGTGTATACACTCATGACATGTTAGAGCTGACTAGATGCCTGGTTACGGTAGAGTATCTCGATTCCGCTTCTTGAAGAAGCGTAAGAACCCGATTGGTAACGTTAAAATCTTTGTGTCAAAGCTTCCTCTGTGCAAAGCGCAGGTAGCCCCGTTGCAGAGCTTTTCAAGAATTTTTTTTTAATGATACCCAAATTACCTTAGAGCCCACACAAGGAGTCCGCCCCCGTCACGTACCGAGTACCAACATTATGATACATCATCACGATGCCTACTTTTAAGCAGTATGATTGTAGTTCACATTTTTTCAGATGAAGACGATGGAGTCAACATAGCTGTAGCTGTGGAGGTCTCTGATCATCGTGATACTAAGACTACTTACCTCCAAAGTTTCAACCAGAATCTTTCTTCTGTCAATGAGTCAAAGTATCCGCACGCGATTCCAATGCTGTATCGGCGACGTAAAAAGACATTCGATATACTCGAATGACCGACTGTGAAATGCGACGAGCTATTATTTTTGAAGCTGACGCAGTGTCAGGACCTGCTAGCAGTAAGCGAACTGAACAAACCCATCATGTCAAACCCTTAACTTTATGATTTATGAGAAGGATTTTGAACGACGTAAATTCCGTCTTGCCACAATTTCGATACATATTACACTCAAAGTCATAATAAAATCACGGCACAACTTACTGAGCTGGATGAAATACAACACTAGCTTCATATCGAAGTTGGTAGCAAAAGGGACGTTGATGGGCTCCGATGAATAATTCCACTTCCTTTACTGTTTCGTTAGCTTGACACGAATAAGATGTATACAAAGTATGTATACTTATTAATTTTAACTCAAACAAAGTTTTAAAAGAAGCTTTATTCAAGCAATGAATATAAATCAAAATTAAAACTCAAGATTAGGTGCGTCGAGAATGTTATTTACAGTAGAACCTGTCTAAATTAAACCTGTTTAATTTAAAACCCTCTCTAAATTAAAC